TTATGTAGGAGACCATTTCTAATAAAATGTTACAAATCTATAAAGTACTTCTACATACTTGATCCTGCTTAATTCACAGAACTGGGATCCAGCAGTGGGGAAATAATGATCAGAAATTCTAAGACCAAACTAGTGTTCAGTTATAAACGAAAAATGACAAGGATGCGCCCAGCCACTCCTGTCCTCCCCCAACTTGTCTCCAAAGCCACATCTAAGGTGAAAATCAGAAAAAGAAGTTACCTCTCATCTTCCTTCTTAATTCCATAGATGAGAGGACACTGGGAGACAAGGTGAACATGAGGTAGCTTACAAAGTGGAAACATTGGGGCTTTAATGTCAGGGGGAGGGCGGGCCACACAATACAGTGTGCCAGCCCAGTTTGCAATGCAAAAAGACAAACAAGGTGCAGTCAATCCCTAGCTCCCCCACCCACTCTTTTCCCCCATATATCACAAAGTTCCACTGAGGATGATATGTTCTCACTTAGTCAGAACTGAAGGAAGTTTGCCTTTGAAGTAGGATCATTAACATCTCTTCTAGGAAGAAGCTTCTTTCCTTGGCTTATGCCTGGGAGGTTTACTTTCCAGTTTCCAAAGAGAAGGGAACAATTGCTGGCTGATTGTCATTAGAAAGAGTGTATGTGCATGTTCGTGTGTGTGCGTGAGTGCATGCATGTGTATATGTGTGGTTCTGGAGATGTGGACTTACCACACACTAAACAATTTAACCTGAAAAAATGAGATTTCAAGGTTATAGAGTGAGGGTTGTTTTCAGAAGAGCCAACATTTCTAGGACTTGTGGAACTTGGTAAATCTGTATGCTGGAAATAGCATTGGCCTAGAAAGTTGGTTGTGTGGGTGTTTTGTAAAGAAAGGTTCATTCACCTCTACTAAAACTAGGGATTTGTGTTGGCTCGTGGAAAGCCAGGTACAAGAGCTCTTTTCCTGGATAAAGGAGACCTGGAGTAGCAGGTCTTTGAAATGGATCAAAGATCTAAATATTAAGACATAAACACTATATCTGTTGGAAGATAGAATAGGTAGAGCTCTTGAAGACACAGGTGTAGGCAAGGACTTTATGAACAAAACCTCAATTACACAAGAAATAATACAAACAATAAATTGGATCTCATCTTATTAAAGAGCTTTTGCACAGCAAAACAAACCACCAATAGAGTGAAGAGACAACTTACAGAGTAGAAAAAAAATTTTACTGGCTGTTCTTCAGACAAAAGTCTACTATGTAAAATATGTAAAGAAACTCAGAAAAATCAGACCCCAAGTTTAAAGACCCAACCCCAATATGGGTACCTGAAATGAATAGACAGGTGAATAAATACAAACAGCAAATAAATATATGAAAAAATGTTCAAAACCATTGGTCATTAGAGAGATACAAATTTAAAAACCACTGACATTTAGAAATGGGAAGAAAGAGCTAAAGGTGTAGGGAAGGTGGGATGGGTAGGGGAAGGGTAATAAGGGAAAAGAAAAAAATGTGAGATAATGAAAAGATGGAAATAAAGTGTTTGTAGATGGGGAGGAGAGGAGGGGGTGAAGGGAGGGCAGGGGTAAGGGGAAAAAATGAGAATCAAGACTTGTCATGTAGAGGTACAAGATTCCACCAATGAATGTAACTGTATGTATCCCTAAAATGTACCAATAAACTCAATTAAAGCTGAAAAGAAAATACTGAGCTTTCATCTCACTCCAGGAAAAATGGCTTCTATCAAGAAATCAACCAATATTAAATGCTTCGGGGTTGTGGGGGAAAAAAGAGCCCTTCTCCACTGTTGGTGGGCGTGTAGACTGGTGCATCCATTGTGGAAATCAGCATGGAGATTCCTCAAAAAACTGAAACTAGAGGTCCCATTTGACCTAGGTATGCGTCTTCTTGGTATCTTCCCAATAGAATTAAAAGCATCACACCACAGTGATATATGCAAGCTAACTTTATAGTGGCATAATTTGTACTAGCTAAATCTTGGTAACAGCCCAAATGCCCATCAACTGATGAATGGATAAAGAAGATGTGGGCTTTTTATACAATTAAGTATTACTCTGCTATAAAGAAGGATAAACTTGAAGCACTTATAGGTAAATGGTGCACCTTGAGACTATACTCTTAAGTCAAATAAATCAGACACACATATTTAAAGATCACAGTGTTTCTCGGGTGTGAGAAACAGAAAGTGTAAATAAGGATCAAATGCATAATAGATATTGGGAAATGGGAAGAAAATGTTCAAATGGGAAGGGGAACAAGGGAGGAGGAATGGGGAAAAGAAGGAAAGGGATAGGAAAAAAAAGAGAATAGAAGGAAGAAAAGGAAACAAAGCTATGGTAAGTAAGGAATGGAAGTGGAGTCAAAGAAAGGGGAGGGGAATTGAAAAAAAGAAAAAAGATATATCATGTACAGTTACATATTCCCTGTGATGAATGTGGCGTATATATATTGGATTATA